AGGAGCCGAAAGAAAGAGGGAGACAAAGGATCGGAAGCAGGTTCTGTGCCAACAGCAGCGAGCCCGACATGGGGCTCGAACCCACAAACTGTGAGATCATGACCAGAGCCGAAGTTGGATGCTCAACCAACGGAGCCACCCAGGCGCCCCCTGCCCCCATAATATGTATTTTTAATATTACGTCTCTGCTCAAGAACCAACTGTGGCAGCCTGTGCCCATCAGCTGGAGGCATCATTCCAGCCTGGCATCCAAAATCTACTTCCTGCCTCCCTATACTCAGGTTGCTTCTCCAAGCGGGGCTGGGGCACACCATGCCCATGCGTGCCCTTGGGCTGCAACACACCATGCAGGCCTGGGGCCGGCCACTTGAACTTCAGCTTGAACTTCCCTGAGGCCCGTGGGAGATAACTGGAATGGGGCTCAGGTAGGGTCAGGTGCCGAGGCCCCGTGTGGTCTCTGATGACTGCCCCTCCCCTCCCCCTCCCTAGCTTCCCTCCCTGGGAGCCGTGAGCAGCTAGCACCCAACCTCTCTCTCCACTGGTGATGGGCCCCCAGTTGGTCTGGCCCCAGACAGGGCTCAGAGGCCCCAGGCATCTCCCGAAGCTCCTTGAAGCAGGTTGTGCCATTGTCAACCTCTACCGACAGCTCTTAGAAGACCTAGCCCTCTGGCCTGGGTTCCCTGGGAAGCCTGCTGAGACTGGACATCAGGAAATGATCTGCTTCCTGCCCCTGAGTGGGGAGCTTCCCTTTTTTGCTTTGGCCACCGGGGAGCTGGGGGCCACATAATCCATGTTCCCAGCAGCTCTTAGCATCAGGTGGGTCTCAGCATAGCACTGATTTCCTTATTGGGTGCACCTGGTGGAGTTGGGGGTCTTTGTGCCAAGCTGCCCTTGGTTCTTTGTATAAGGAAGTGCAGGATTGGGGCGCCTGGGCAACTCATTCGGTGAAGTGTCTGACTCTTGGTTTCCGCTCAGGTCATGATCTCATGGTTTGTGAGATCGAGCCCTGCGTCGGGCTCTGCGCTGACAGCCTGGAGTCTGCTTAGGATTCTCTCTCTCCCTCTCTTTCTCTGCCCCTTTCCTGCTTGTGCTCCCTCTCTCTCTGTCTCAAAATAAATAAATAAAGAAACATTGAAAAAAACGTGCAAGATTAACATGAAAAGTATGTGGTTGTCCCCTCAGGAAATGAACAACAGGGGTGTATCCTGGCCCTTCCAGCAACCTACCTTCAGGGCATCCAAGATCCTGCCATCGTAGTCAATCACCACTGTGTCTCCTTGCTCGCCCTTGAGGCCCGGGGGACCCTAAGGCAGGAGGAAGAGTAAGAATTTCAGGGAAGGGCCGTGGTTTTCAGGTCTGTGTCTCAGCCAGAGAACCTGGGAATCTGGCCCGCACGACGGTCCGTGTAACTTGAGCTGTAACCTGGTGGGACCCCCGCAAGCCCATACTCCAGAATCTACTTGGGCACTGGGACCCCGTTCACTGGCAAAATGCTCTGGGGGCCCAGGCAGTGGGCATCAGGGAGGGAAGGGGGCTCTGAAGCAATGAGGGAACATGCCCCTGCCTGGTCCGGCTGCAATTCAGGTGTGAATTGAAGTCCACTGAGGCCTTATCTTGGGAGTTCTCCAGGGAAAACAGAAAGTCTAATTTTGATGGGAAGTTCTTCAGATTTTTAAAAAATGTTTATTTATTTTGAGAGAGAGAGAGAGAGAATGAGCAGGGAAGGAGCAGGAGAGAGAGAATCCCAAGAAGGCTCTGCGCTTTCAGCACAAGAGCCCGACATGGGGTTCGATCTCCCAAATGACAAGATCGTGACCTGAGCCGAGGTCAAGTCTGATGCTTAACCGACTGAGCCACCCAGGTGCCCAGGTTCTTCAGATTTTTAGATGTTGGCAAACAAGCAAAAATAAACACACTCCCCAAACCCCCAAATGCTACGACGACCAATATGAAATGTGCCAGCTGGATCTTCCCCTTGGATCTTCCCCTGGGGCCTCCGTTTCCCTGCCTCTGACAGAGACTGCACGCACCATGCACTAGTAACCAGCACACGGACGCCCAGGCTTACGTGTTCCTGCATGGACACGACCGTCCTGCCCTGACTCTCTGAACCTCCCTCCATCCCAGGCTGCCCTCTGCTGGCAACACTCTGGTCAGGCCTGGGGCTAGGCCCCTGCAGAGGGCGGAGACACCCAGGTCAGGGCCTCATTTGCCAGCTACCCGCACGGTCATGGCCTGTATGGAACTGTATGGTTCACACAGAATCCCACGCTCAGCGCCTAATCCAGCCCGGCCACCTGCATGACCAGGCTGTGCGCCTGGCCTTGTTTTGTGGAGAAAAGCAGCCTCCAGGAGCATGAGGGAACGTGATGGCCAGAAGCCACAGAGCAGAGGACAGGACTCTGGATGTCAACCTAAAGGTGGGTTGATAGGGGCTGGTCACAAACGATCTGAGACCAGCCCTGCTTCTGGAGATGGGGACGAACCTTAAGCCTGAGCCTCGATGTGGGGCAAGGCACCCCGCAGGGGTAAGGTAACGCCACAGGGGACAGATAGAAGGTCTATGCTTAACTATGAGAAGAAAAGACTCTAGGAGGACAGACACTCACGTGGGGAGGACTTGTTTTCACACATCCATAAGTGAACCATTGAGGGGCACCTGGGTGGCTTGGTTAAGCGCCTGACTCTTGGTTTCGGCTCAGGTCATGATCTCGCGGTTCGTTGAGTCCGAGCCTGGCATCAGGCTCCACGCTGCACGGAGCCTGCTTGGGATTCTCTCTCTCCCTCTCTCTCTCTACCCCCACTCTCTCCCCACTCTCTCTGTCTCTCTCAAAATAAATAAATAACCTTAAAAAAAAAAAACACGCTAATGAATTATAAAAAAAAAAAAAGACTCCCATTTTCTGGAGCTCCTCTGGGGTCGTCTGGGGGACAGGGGCTTCTGAAGAACCTGGGCCCCTGGGTCCTCTCGGTGTGGCCAGAGGGGAGACTGCTTACCCGCAGCCCTGTGGCTCCATCGGCACCTTGCTGGCCAGGCTCTCCCTGTGGAGACACGAGGTTGCGGCCGTCTATGCATGGCTGCCCCACACCCCCTCCAGTCTTCTCTTCAGCAAAAAGCGCAGGGCTCACATGCTGGGGCCCTAAGGGACTAATTTTTGTGACTGGCACTCCAGGAACAGGGCTCATGGAAGGAGCACCTATGGGACCCTCCTCTGGCCCCACAGTGTGGAGAGATGGGCCACTGAGGGAGGGCTACAAGATGACAGCCACAAAGCTGAGCTCGGTGGAGGCCTTGTCACTCACCCAGACCCACTGGCCACCCAGGCCCCAGGCCGGCCTCTGACAGCCTGAGGAATGAGACACTAGGACCCAAGCCCTCCCGGGACTCCCCACTTCAAAGGGCAAATTGGAGGTGAAGCCACAGGGAGGTGTCCCCATGATGGGGACACTGGTCTGAGTCGCGCACTGTAAGGCACCTTTGGCCCTGGGGCGCCGTCCACACCGTTTTCTCCTGGAGGCCCCACACTCCCTGGCTCGCCCTGCAACAGAGACATTTCACAGCGAGTGAGCACCGGGGGCCAGCCCGGGGCTACCTGGGCCTGCTGGCTTTCAGGGGCTCCTGGGGAACATGCCTGAGCCCCCCTGGGGTTGAGGGGAGATGGGCCTCAGGACTCTCCCCAGCCCTGGGGACTCCAGACCATGGCCAACTTTTCTGGTGTGGGTCTTGGTGCATAGTTAGGGCAGCTCAGGGGCTCAAGAGACATTTTGGAGGCTGACTGGCCATCTCTATGGTTTGGGAGAGCAAGGATGATACCCTGTTCCTAGCCTGGGGACAGGATAGAGTAAGGGCCACCTGAGATGGGAACTAGGAGGGCCTGAGGGTGTGAGGGGAGGCAAATGACCGGATGGGATGCCCCGCCTGGTGCAAGTGGGGCCCAGGGCCTTCCTCTTGCCTCTCTGGCTTGCCCCGGGCATCAGCACATGCCCCTACATTGGAAAGGGCCAGCCAGGGGCCTCACCAGGCAGAGGGGAGGCAAGGGGCCTTCTGGGGGGAGGCACATGTACCTACCTTGGGCCCTGGAGGTCCAGGGAGCCCTGGCTGGCTTGGCGTCCCGTCATCTCCCTGTGGAGAGAGAGGCTGAGGCTGCAGCCCTCAGGCTGGGCATACAGGCTTTGGACGTCTCCCCCACCCTGCGCTCCCCAGCACACCAATCCTCTGCTGGCACCAACACTGGTCACACTGGGTCAGGACAGGGGTGGGGCAGGTCCCCCAGGGCCAGCCCAGAGCATGTGTCAGCAGGTGTGTGCAGAAGGAAGGCAGATGGGCAGGTGGAGGAGAGAGGGATTTGTTCCTTTAGTCAACAAATGTCATGGGGCCCCTGGATGTCTCAGTTGGTTGAGCTTCTGACTCTTGATTTCGGCTCAGGTCACGATCCCATGGTTTGGAGGATCAAGTCCCGCATTAGGCTCTGCACTGACAGCATGGAGCCTGCTTGAGACTCTCTCTCTACCTCTCTCTCAAAATAAATAAACTTTAAAACAAACAAACAAACAAACAAACAAACAAACAAACATCTTATGAGCACTCTCTGTGCAGATAGGGTCCCCGCTCAATGGGTGACAGGGGTTGAGGACAAAGAAATATCCAGATAAGCACATAGCACCATGCCAGGAGGTGGAGGCAGTGGTGGAAAGGGAATGTAAGAGGGTGGCAGGATGAAGGGGCTTGGAGGAACGGTCTCCTGGGGGAGGGGACAGCTGTTTGGAGACTTGGCCTGGGAACAGGTGGGGAAAGATCATTCCAGGTCAACGGTTCCCAAACTTGAGTGCATGTCAGAGTCACCCAGGGGCCTGTTGAACAGACCGGGTCTAAAAGTTCTGGTCACCAATTCTGATGGGGGTGGGGTGTGTCCACACCACCAAGCCATTCTCTGACACCAGCCAGGTGTCCTGCAATTCAGCCTAATTCTGATACGTGTCTACCAATTTCGAGAGTGTCAGATGGCACCGGTTAAGGGGCCAGTCCTCCAGGACTCTCCCGCTGGCTGTCCCCAACCTGCACACTCCAGGCACCAGGAGTAAGCCTGTTGCCACTTTTACTTCTCATCAACTGGCCATAGAGTGAAGATTCCCACCACCTGCTCCTTGGGTTCCATCAGCTTTGCTACAGCGGCTCCCAGAACCCAGAGAAACACTTTACTTACTAGATTACCGGTTTATTATAAAGGCTGTAACTCAGAAACAGCCAGATGGAAGATATGCATCTGGCAGGGTACTAGGACAGCGCGTGGGGCTTCTGGGCCCTCTCCAGGATCGCCACTCTCCCCAAGTCTCCACGTGCTCACCAACCCGGAAGCTCTCGGAACCCCATGCTTTTGGGTGTTTATGGAGCTTCACTGCACAGGCACGAATGATTAAATCGCCGGCCACCGGTGAGATCAGTTCAACCTCCAGCCCCTCTCCCCTCCCTGGAAGGCTGGTGGCTGGGACTGAAATTCCCAACCTTCCAAAGGTTCTCCAGGCAACCATCCCCCATCCTCAGGTGGGGGCCCAACATCGCCTCATTCACATGACAATAGACACCTTCAAATTAGGTTCATCCCTCAGGACATTCCATGAGTTTTAGGAGTCTGCTCCAGAGACAGGGAGGACTGAGACTAAATATGGATTTATCATAAATCACAACATCCTGGGGTGCCTGGAGCTCTGAGGATACTGCTGGTCCTAGAACCTCACTTTGAGAACCACTGTCTAGGGCTGTGAACTGGGAACAAATTTGCTGTGTTTGAGGAAAGGAAAGGATGAGGGAGTAAGTGGATAAATGAACAAGATCCTGGCTTCAGAGACAGAGGACAGAGGACCCATATGTGAGGACTTTCCTGTGGTCGCCCCCCCCCCCCCCAGCCTGGCCCCACTGGGAGCCCTGCCCTTCTCTCCAGCCTCTTCCCACATACCCCACAGGGGCCCCCCTCACCTTCTTTCCAGGAATGCCAGGCTCACCCTGAGGAGGGGGTAAGGGGGTGCAAGAGAGAGGTCAGAGCCCTCAGAGCACGGCCCAGACACCAGGCCACCTGTTCCTCTGGGAGAAATGGCCTTGATGACTGGGGACAGCCTAGAGATCCCGGCCCCACAGACAGGTGCACACGGATGCTGGGGCTGACAGTCTTGGACTCCACTCCCGACTGCGTCCCCCTCCCCCACAAGCTGAATGATCCTGGGCAACTCACTACTTTTGCAAGTGGGGGGTGTGAAGCCCCAGCCTCAGAGGGTGGTTCTGAGATGAGAGAAGTAATGAAAGCCCTTTTCCTTCAGGGAAAACCACAGCTTGCCCTCCCACCCCTGCAGGTGCTGTTCACAACAGGGGAGGGGGGGGTGGGGGGTGGGGAAGGACAGCTGTCATGGGGAGGGGGCAGTGGGGTAGGGAGCCCATCCCTCCCAGGCCTGGGGCAGGGGACACGGAGTAAGGAGCACCCACCTTGGGCCCTGGGGGTCCCTTCAGGCCCTGGAACAAGAGAAGAGAAAATATTAAATGGGATACTGGAGGCTGCTTTTGGGAGGTTCTTCTTCTGGTAATTTTATAAAGGGTGACACCAGGTGCTAGAAGGCAGGAGGTGGGGCTGTGCTGCCTGCTCTAGGCCTGACCCTTCCCCATGTCTACGGCCACTTCTGCACCAGATCTCAAGCAGTGCAGTGGGCTGTGGGCTCCCTCCCAGGGACGTGGGGCTGGGGGCCTGGCCCATCAGTTCCCTGATGCTGGTGACAGGACGGGAGGGCAGGGGTGCTGCCCGCACGCGCACACCCCCAGTGCGGCTGTAAGCGGGACAGGGGCTTCCGGGCCTGCAACCATGGGCCTAGCAGCCCAGGCCTCTGAAATGCCCTGGATACTGACCATCTCGCCGTCTCGTCCAGCCTCTCCTTTGGGACCCTGAGGGGGCAGAAGAGGAGAGCCTCTGGAGGGGATGCAGGGGATGAGAAGTGCAGGGGCTGAGCCCACTCCCCCCACCAGGCCCTGTACTGGGGCTCCAAGTAGTCTCTCATGTCGTGTCATCTTGACCAAACCCCTGAAGAGCGGGTTCCATTGTTCCCACTTCACAGATGAGAAGGTCGAGGCTCAGGGAGTTACGCGCCCAACGTGAGTAGGCATGGATGAGTCAATTGAGTAGGTGCCCTGAGAAGGGACAGTTTGGTAGAGGAGCTGGATCTGCACGGGATGGGAAGGACAGGCCTGCGTCCCTGTGTTGGGGAAGGGGAAGGACATGAAGTCTGGCCTTCGGGGTTTGGGTAGAACTATAGGAGGACAGCTGAGCCTAGCTAGTTAGTACTGGAGGTGGGAAAGCGAGAGAGAATGAGAAAGAGTGAGCGAGGGAGGAACAGGGCTTGGTAAATCTGCCGGAAGAAGCACCCACATGTGGGTCTCAGGGCCAGGGTTAGGAATGGGAGTGAAATCACAACCGATATCAGGTTCAGGGCCTCTGGTTCTATTTGGGGTGGACCAGGATTTGGGAATGAGTTTGGGGTCAAGGTCTTAGATGGCGGTAAGTATAAGGCTGGAGTGGGGTAAGTGTCTGGGTGAGGGCTGGGGCTGGGGTTGGGGTTAGGCGTGGATCTGGGTCTGGACTGGGGACAGGGCTGGGGCTGGGGTTGTTTCTGGGTCAGGGGTTAGGGTTTTGGTAGGTGCAGGACCGGGGTGTTTCCACCTCCATGCCCTCTCTTACCTCTGGGCCTTGTGCTCCCCTGGGGCCATCTTTCCCAGTGTCACCAGGAGGGCCTCGGACCCCAGGGGGCCCAGGGGGCCCCGGAGGCCCAGCAGCTCCATCTTGCCCTTGGTCTCCCTGGAAGACATGGTGCGTGGCTCACCGGGAGGGGAAGGAAAGGGGCTCCAGTCTCCAGAGAGAAGCCTCTGCAGATGGACAGGCCCGTGCCTTCCCTTCCCCAGCTGGAGCAGGCTCAGAGGGAAGCGCCTTGTCACTGTGCTTCTTGCCACTTCTTGGTGGCCACACGAAGGGACAAGCCCTTGTACTCTGACATAAGAGGCTAACAGGACCCTTCCCCTCCGAGGAATGTGCCATCTTCCCAGCTCCCGGTGCCTGGAGCCCAGCTCTGGTGTTCAGTTGAGAGTGGAGACACGTTGGATGTGGGAGCTAGCACGTGGGCCCCACTGGCCCCCTTCTTCCTGGAGAGGGCGCTGCACGCCTCCCGAAGAACCTTCCCCGTTGGGCAGCTCCTGCTTTATTAGGTGCTGGAGGTGCGCTTCTGGGCACGTACGCAGAGCAATGAGCGCTCGGGCTCACACAAAACCTGCACGCAAGTGTTCACAGCAGCTTTACGTGTAATGGCCCCAAACCGGAAACAACCCAATGTAGCTACCCAATGGGTGAAGGGTTAACCGACAGGGATACAACCATATCACAGAACACTGCTCAGCAGTAAGTGCAAAGGGACAAAGTACGGATGCGTGCAGTAACTTGGATGCATCTCGAGGGCATCACGCTGAGGGAACAGAACCAATCTCGAAAGGCTACATACTGTGTGGCTGCATCTACACGACATTGTTGACATGGAAATGTCATACAGGTGGAGCACAGATTAATGGTTGCTGGGGGTTAGGGATGGGGTGGGGAGGGAGTGTAGCTGGGCAAGGCCACCATGAGGGGGTCTCTGCATGTGGTTCAGGAATCTACAAGCGTGATAGCACTGCCCAGACTTAAACACCCCCCAGGTGAATATAACGGGTAAAATCTAAATAAGGCAGGTAGACTGTATCCATTTCCTGGTTATAAGCTCGTACTTGAGTGAGGCAAGACATTGCCATG